TCATTAGTGCTTGGTTGAAAACTCCAAAAACTTTCATCTTTTGAGGGCGTTTTGAAGTTCACGTAGTCTTCTGAAACTTTCTGCCATGCCCTCCTCTGACCTCAGCGCTTTCTTGTCTGACCTGGTACATTTGGATGCTGAGTGTACGGGTGCTCCAAACAGCCGTTCCCCCGCCGGAGGTCACTTTGAAATGGAATAGATTTTTCTAGATCTCAGCCGAAGCCTTGGGGAAGGTTGCTTCATTAATCACAGCTAAATGCCACTGTCTGCCTGTCTCCTCCTTAACCAACCAGCAGCCGCAGATAGTATCTCTGATTGATACTGATAATTAATTGTCCTTGGGTGGGAGCAGCACATTGTATATTATCCAGTGGGGAACCTTTAATTACTATGTAAAGACTCATTAGGTTAATTCTATGGAGTGGCCTGATGGCACAAGGGCCAAATGGATGTCTTCCTCTTCCTGTGGCCTTTTCTGAGACATGTTTTTGCCCCGGTGTCTAAGCCCATTCTACAATGACGTGTGCTGATTCAGAACCGGGAAATGTCAAGTTACATTTGAAACAGCTGAGGATTTAGGCAATTGGAGAAAATTTAAATGATTACATATTTAGGAGGCGGTGCTGGGACTAAAAATGTCAGTGGAAGACTTTCTGAATGGTGATGCGGACAAGAGCCAGCCAATGACAAGAGCTGTTTGAGGTTTTAAAAAAGGACAAACTACTTGTCTCTGCGTCAAAATGTTTGGTCCAACACAACAGTTTTGCTGATGCAGACTATGGGGAGCATTCTAACAAGACAAAGAGTGCAGAAAAGCCAGTACTGCTTTGTCAGAGCTGACACATGATTGTGTGACGTGTCTCTTATCTGTTGTTGTTGCCAGATGCAGCCTTCTGTTCCTCCTCTTTTGCCGGATAATGGACTGGTGCAATGCAAAAATAGTAGAGCTCAGTCTGGATGGATCTGCCTGGTTGCATCTAGAAACAACAACTGAAAAGGGCGTGTCACACCATCACGTGTCACTGCTGACGAAGGTGGAAGATTCCCGCCCAACCATGTCAGGTAATTAACCCTTTCGGCGCCACAGTGGTGAAATAGCTATACAAGCTAAATCCAAGACACAGAGATTTGGTTTCACAAAGACGTCGCTCTACATTTTTAGTGTCATTATTTCTTCAATAATGTATTTCCATGATTGATTAAAGTAGTTCATTATCTGCTGCTCTTACAGGATGTCACCTTGTATCTATTTCACAGAACAGTCTCATTAAAACACTGGCATCTACAGGGTTTTCATGTTTTAAAAGAAATACAAGCATCTTTTTTGAATAACTTTTTTTTTTAAATAAATAAAACTCAATGATCGTTCTAAATTGAATAGGAACATGATATATTTGTGCGTTTGTTCCCCTTTTTATGAAAGTTGAAGCCCATCGTTAATATCTGAATACCCTCGACATGTACATTGGTCGGCCTGCAGTATGATTTTAGAGTGAGACACTAAAAGTTTTTGCTGTCTCATCAGATGTTTCAGGGGAATAGAGAAAGTCATGCATTTAACATGTGTAGGAAGGCAGGGGTAAGTGAGAGCAGCCAGAGGAAAGGCACAACTGAAGCACAAAAGGACCATTCAAATGAAACACAAGAGACATTATTCTGAGGATTCACCAGAACCTGTCTGTGCAGAATGTTGCAACATTAACTACATGATGTCAACAGTGAAGGAAGCATGTTTCCTCAGATCTGAAAGCAAAAACTGACTCCTTTTCATGAATGTTTGCAGATATGGTGGAAGAAATCAGTTCCCTGAGGTAGTTGAGTTGCACCATCTAGTGGCTATTTTGAGAAAAAAACTATATTCAATGAAGCTTTTGAAATCTGGTCAAAAGCACTGTGTGTTTTGGATAAATCTGTGACACCGACATGTCTCATTGCCCTAATTCACAGATTTATCTGGTTATATTGGTTAATCTCCTAATTCTAATGGTTCAGGAACCAAAAGTGAATGAGCGTGTCTTGACTTTTCACAGATGAGGCGGATCCCTGCTGAGTTCTTCCAAGTCAACACTAAAGTAAACCCTTGTGGTATCCATGGGTCAAATGTTTTCGAGGTAAATTGTGGTGACTATTCCTAACTTGACCTGCCCTGGGTCACTCAGACCCTGTAGCGGTCACTGAAGACAGTTTCCAGATGTCCATATCTTACAGCCTTATTATCATTTAGCACAAGTATACCAGGCTTACTCCCCTGGTCTTAAGGATGAGTGTCACATCAGAACAGAACAGATTGGAGTTGTAGTGAAGAAAAGATTTATTCTTCGACGCTCCAAACAACGTAGTGTAGTTTCTTTTTAACCACAGCAGCAGCCAAACCATCTCCCCTCCTTTAATCTCACACTTGAATATAATCAGGAGAATACGCTCATCTAGTTCTGCCACCTTTTTGTGCACAGGGCCTTGGTTAATTATGAAGTAGTGAAATCATTAACGCTGTAATTCATAGGTCTCATAATGCTGTAATGTATTTGTCTCTCTGCTGGCAGCATTAGCAGAATAATGTGTAGTCTGATTAATTGCTTGTGTGTCTTGGATATTGCCTTCAGCAAAATGACAGTGAGAGAAAGTACAGAAGTGACAAATGGATACAACTTGATTGATGAAGAAGCAGCAGCAGCAAAGACTGATGCTGTCACATTACATCCAAAGTGCCCGCCTCGTAATGCGATTGCAAACCTATGTATTTATTTGATACAAGCAAAGTTCTTGTGCTCTAAAATTAACCGTTGGATCTCTGACAACTTTTGAAATTGAGAGGAAGATCTTTTCCATCTCTGAGTTGCAACTATTCCCATTGGCCTGCAACAACATAAACTAGAAAATAAGACTTTGCAAGAATTTTACTTAAGAATTTTACTTAAGTTCATATGTTGCATGTCGCGGCCCACTTTTAAAACTGTAGACTTATATGTATTTCTTATTATGCTAATGTCAAAGATTTGTATGCTTCATTCTTGCTTCCTTGTTGTGCTAAAGCTAGAGATATTTATTGCTTCTGTATTACCCAAAAGTCACAGTTTATTTTATTTTATTACATAATTATTGTTCATTTAGATTGTGTTATTCCTACTGTCCTGTAACTGGTGATGCTGATGTATTTGTTACTGCATGAGCAAAGTAAAAATGAATGAATTCGCAGACACTACATCAACTATGCTAATACACCCATTTGCATAGCGTTACAACATTCACTAATTATAATTCATTACAACAATATGTCACATTAAGCACCTGTTCTGTGGCAGATGGCCTCAAAGGCTGATATTAATACCAATAACCTTTTGGTCAAAGTCACGGTCAGGGTGAAAGAAACTTCATCTTGCAGCTTCATTTGAGAGTGGTCAGTTCAATTAGGCTCGTGCCAAATTTTAAATTGTCCTTTGAAGACGGCTGGCTCTGTGCATGTTATTATGTTTTAATGTGGGAGGTTGGAGCGATGCCCATTCAGTCTTTGTGCCCATCATAAAGTGCACATGTGGCTGGAGCGGCTGAACTGTGTTTTATGGACTGAGAGGAGTCTAACCGTGATTGATTTTGTCCATGAATGATCTGATTTGTGGAGGTCAAAAGTTAAAGAGAGAAAAAGTAGTTGTGACACTTTGAACAGATGATTGCTTGGTAAAACGACCGTGTCATTGGATGAAAAAGGAGTCTCTCTGGCTCTTGATCTTTCCTTATTTCTTTAAACAATATTAGGATGGTTGTGTTAAATCGTGGGTTCCATTTGTATAGGCTAATTGCATTTGATTGCATGTCTGAGGAACTACAAATATAGACAGATGGGATAACAATCTGTTAAGAGACTAAAGAGACATCAGATTAGATTCAGACCATTTTGATCTGTCAAGACACATAACTAAAGAGGGACACTGCAAATTGGACGCTCGTGTTCCATGAAATAACACCTCAGAACAGACTAAATCCACCACAGTCGCTAAATGTGCCAAACACACTTGAAAACAAACACCACTGCAGACATATCACAACAATCCATTAGACCTATTAGTGTGAGGTTTTTGTTATGTCACGGAGTTTATTCATAAGAAACTATACACTCACCCATTTATTTTCTGGTGATTACGTGAATGGCTGGTGGTGGTCGGAGGGGCCGATGGCACATACGGGTGCCTCACTTCAGTCAGTGCAGGTCCCAGGGCAGCTGTGGCTACAGTATAGTATATTATTGTCTATTGCCACTGTGTATGGTGTGAATGAATAATGTCATGAAGCGACTTCGAGTGTCCAAAAAGGCACTATATAAAACAATGCATTATTATTATGTTATTATTATAATCAATATTAATAATAATTTTGAAAACATGTTATATTTTGTAAACGTGAGTCAAAATTACGTCTGAAAATTTTGATCTGAAGATTTGATAGCGGCCAAAAATACATGGATGAAACAAACAACTAATGATATAGAATCAAACTCTTTTAGAACCATGAACTAGATGAATTTTATAACATAATTCAAATGTTTGTGGTTTCAACAGTATAGGTACCCCGGCTTTAATTACTACCAAAGTCTTACATAATGGCCATAAAATCTGCCAAGTTCTCTGGCGTCCGCTGCGTAAAGAAGCGGATGCTGGTGACGTCTCCACAATAAAGCATTGTTATTCACGCAAAAAAAGACAATAATATCAAGCTCCTGCAGTAAATCCAAATCTAAACGAAAGCGACACAGTATCTCAGTAAATTAAAACACCTTTTGAACGTCTTTTCTCTTCATATTCCCACACACGCACCATAACCGTAAAGTAGGAAGTGCAGACGCGCGGTGGGTGTGTGCGCTTTGGCTGTTTGTGCCAAATACACGCACACACATACAACTACACGCACACACACATACAACTACACACACACACGCGTTGAATCTGAGGCTGGTTGGAGCAAGTTTGCCTCCTGTACCTCAGCTCACCCTCTCCCTTCTCTTCGCCATGGAGCCTCGCACTTTCTACCGGGAAGAGATCAACAACACGACCTGGGAGGTGGTGGAAAAGTACACGCGTCTCAAGCAGATCGGTACCGGGGCATACGGATCCGTCTGGTGAGTGCCTGTGGATCTTTGCTCTGTATTTTTGGTGCCTTGAACGACTGAGGGGGATTCATATTGACTTAAAACTGTCCCTGGTTATATAATAGAGTCAATAAACTAAGGGCGTAAACACTTGTGCCATCACCAATTATTGCTCCATGGATTAAGTTGCACCTGAAACCATTACATCATAGGTTTGATACCCGGGGAATCAGGTCTTTTCATTTGCATTGGACGTGGTCTGGTCTATGTGCTGTCTGTATATACCGGGAAACCCCCAGGACTCTGTGATTATATTGTGCTTTTGTACAGCGCGCAGTGAAAGCAGAAGAGGTACTGTGCCGTAAAGAGGCGTGGGCAAGGTGGAAAGGTTAAGATAAAGGTTCACATTGCCTTCAGGAGGTGAATATACAGTACAAATGTCCATGCCTCAATGGAAAAAGCAATGTGGGCTATATGATCTGATTGTACATATTACTTGTGTGTGTTTTTAAGGTTATAACGTAATGTATTAATGTTATTACACAATGAAAAAGTGCAAAATGTGGTCCACTGTATGTGTTATATAGTGTGATCAGTGCATTTAGCTGATTAAAGCCAATAATATGTTTATAATGTAATGTATTAGTGATTATCTGTGAGCTTCGCCACTGCTTTGACTTGTCCTGCTTTGTACAGATATAGTTTAACAGTTAAGATATCAAATTTAGCAAACTTTCATGGACAAACCCAAGAGTAAAAAATCCTTTGAAGACAAGAGTAATAAAACATGTACTATTCTATAATTATATGTTATCTATGCATATATTTTTAAAGCCGACTTAAGTCTATGAAATTGTATTAATGATAATTACATAATAAAAACATAATTTCAATTATGAGCCAAATATGTGTGATTTGATTTTGGCCATATTTGAAAACAATACAATACACAACAGTTCATTTTAATACTAGGACATTCTTCTGTTTCTATTTTTCATCCAATTTCAGTGCAATTTGTCCAGGCAAGAAAGAGAATTGGGATTGGACTGTTTTTTTGTGAATCTTACCTGTTTGAATATTAATGAATAATACATTGCATGTATTTAGCACTTTTTGGACACTATATGCTTTAGTAAAAAACAAATAAGACACAAAATAAATAGCTAAAATGAAGAATTAGGAAGTTTTGGGTTTTTTGAAGTTCTGAATTGAGTCTGATTCCTGATTTGTAGTGGGAGTGAGTTCTAGAGGGGCTTGTAGGTGATGAGGACGACCGTGTATTGTGCAGTTTGGGACAAGGAGCCATTTTGGTGACATCACATTTTCTCACACATTTTTCCTCCCTACAAATTTCCATCATGGAGATTATATCGTGATGTTCTCAACTTTTGCATCATCATCACATAAGCTTTGTTGATGTTTTGTCCAAGAGTTGAAATGAGAAGCCGGATCCGGAGAGCAAACTTACAGAGGAAGGCCAGAAGGCAGGGACAGAGCTGTTTGGGACCGGCCCGGACCGAGACCTGGGACTAGCTGGACCTGGCGATAAGGACCACTGCCTTTTGGAGGGTTGAATTACTGAAGGATTAATACTTACACCAGCATCCTGCCTCATTTAAACTCTTGGACAATAGATCCACAAGCTTTTTGACAAAACAAGGCCGTACTATCACAAGGTCATTTTATACAAATATTTTGCCCCCCATTTGGGGTCCGCCCCCCCTTGCTGCAGCTTGTCCGGACCGTAGCTGACAGATACAACAACTGACAATCACATGTTTCACATCCTCGTGTTCGGACAACTCTCAGCTACAACATTATCCACTTCAATTTCAGTTCAACAGACCCAGGTTCAAACAACAAACCACAATCTGACAAATCGTCATAAAGCACATGTCGAATCAAATGTTTGCTTTGGTGTCACAAGCGCCCTCAAAACAATAAGTAGCCCTGCTGTCAGCACACCATTAGAAAGCCCTCCCCGAGCTGAACACAATGCTATAAGGCTGGTATCGCTACCTCTAAAACTCGCTGACCAAGCCGCAGACGAATGCCAGAAAACAAAGCAGTAAAACATCAGCGTTGGAGTAAAAGTTGACTTACTTTTGCTGTTTTTTCATCACAAGTCATTTCCGTAGGAATAAAAGTCCGTTTTTTCTTGTATTCAACCTCATAGCGAGGCTTTCTAGCGACCTGGCAGATACCCGTTACTTCCTCCTTCTGTAAGAGGCCCTTTGTGATAGGCTGCACCCGTGCGTCATGTCACGTACCTCTGTGTATCTCTTCCTGTGATTGGCCACAGGTGCTGTCCATCAATACGTTTTCAATGGTTTTTGATAGCCGAAGGTGTCTTCTTTCCAAAATGGTATGACATGCCCTGATTGGCCAAAGTACCGCGGAGGCGTGTACATGCGTATAGTTGGGGCAGAAGGAGGCTGTGCGCAAACCCTTTACGCACGGCAGGTAGAGCAGTACTCGGAATTTTGACGAAAGTAAAAGATGGCAAAACAGCGTTATACACGCGAGGAGGTTGTAGAGCTTCTTGCTAGGGAACCGGGTGCCAAAGTTTATCTCGATGACTCTACAGACATGTTTTGTGCCATTTGGCACAATTTTGGCACAGTTGGATTCCGCCTGGACTTTTTTTCCAATTCCATGTACAACTCTGCAGTGGTTTGTTTATTTGGCACATTTTTTGCTGGACTGGTCCAAAATATCGGGAACTGTCAATTTTTGTTCTTATTTGCTACACCACAGACAGGGAAAAAGCTTTTTTGAGGGAAAATATGTGGGTTTTTTTTAGGCGGAAGTTAGAATTGTCTGTTTCAACCTCATTTTATTGTCAACCAATACAATTTATCATCTTTATTTCACTTCCACAGCAATCCCCAAGGTCCACCAGGTAATTTGGTACCAAGTTTGGCCACATATCTGGCTAAATACTATATGAAACCTTAGTAAATGTAGATTATAGCTTTTTCGGGAAAAAAGGCCTCTGGGCTTAAGAGGTTAAGCTGCTGAGTTTCTCTTTTGCTTCACTCTGCCTTTTTGCCTGCTAAGATTCGAAACCACTTTCTATATTCATCACAAGACTCTTAGAAGAAGAAGAGCTTTAGACAAACATAATGATTGAATTATTGATTTATTGAGTTTGTATTTAATTAAATAGGCGGTGTAAAATCTATTTATATACATACTCTATAATGTCACGCAATAATTTGAATTTGCTTGAACCACTGTCTCAATTCCAATTTCCCAATGATATTTTATTTTTGGAAGAAAACTTGATAACCCACCATTGCTAATATTGCTTATATTTCCTATAGTGAATGACGGGAACTTTATATGAATTGGTCAATATTTGTGGGTTTTAAGTGTTGAATGTTCAGATTTGCGGGGAAACAACATGACTCCAAATGCTACTCAACTGGAGTGTTGATGTAGGTGTTTGTGGCTCCAAATAGCAGCTTCCTCCCACAGTGAAGACAGTAGCACTGGGCAAGTTAGCAAATATTACTGCAGATAATAACTAGGGACAGATCTAGTCTTCTTCTGGTCCCATCTGGTTCCTTATGTGTCAATTTGTGTGGTTCAAATGTTTTAATTTTATTCTACAAGTAACTACTGAACAACTTTGTACGAGTAAGTAGAAAGAGCTCTATGTGTTCCTTGTGAATTGTATGCACCAGTGATAAATGTAATGGATATAACCATTTCTCACGGTTTATATTACTGGAATGAAACACTCTGATAACCAGTATCACAGAAACAATACCTTAATCATCAGTTAATCCATTCAGTTTTTCTTGGAATCATTTTGTTGCTAATATTCTTTTGAATAATAGTAACAATAAAAACTGCTCAGTTGGTAGAGCATTGGCCTTTGAGCCTGCAGGTCATGGGTTCGAGCCCACCATGAGACCTACTTCACGACTCCCACTAATGTCTGCCGTCATTGTGTCCTTGGGCAAGACACTTAACCCCACTTTGCCTGAAGTTCCCCAATGAAAAGATCTCAGCTCCTGTGGACTCACCACCTGCAGGAGGATCAGTGAGGGGCTGGTGCTCTGTGTACTTGGTGCAGCTCTGACTGCCACCCCCCAACCCAGAAATGGATTAAGGGGAAGAAAATGGATGGATGGATGAAAAACAATTACAGCAGTCCATTAACAATTGTAACATACTGCATTATTTATTATCTATGTCACTCAGAGACATTATGTACAGTATGTATGTAGTATCTTGGTTAGGCATAGAATTGTGTTTAATTGAAGGTGTGATCTGGCTTGAATATCATCATATATGCGTAGGTTTCCTCCGAGTGCTCCGGTTTCCTCCGAGTGCTCCGGTTTCCTCCGAGTGCTCCGGTTTCCTTCGAGTGCTCCGGTTTCCTTCGAGTGCTCCGGTTTCCCCTACCACTAAAAACATGTACAACAGATCTGACATGCACCTCTTGTTCGGTGACCTCGCTCCGCATCTCTGCTCTTTGTGACTCTGGTCGGTGAAAGGCGCTATATAAATAAAGATTACTTATTTACAATCTTTCACAACCAATTCACCCAAATTTTTGTCAATCTGCCATAGACATAAAAACCATACAGCCTTTTGGACATTATCCAATATTACCTAATGGTCAAAATAATGTGAAATGAAAATTTGAGGCTTGTTTGATTTTCTATATAACAATACACTTTGATGAGAATGACTTTGCTTTGTTTACTAAAGGCTACAGCTTCATGTCAGAATCAATGTATTGCCATTTGAGGAAAGCACACACACACAAACAAAAAGAACCAAAATAGCCAGACAAGACCCAGTGAGGCACATTTAAAACATGTGTGTTTCAGTTTCAGCTGGTGGTCTGCCATGTGATTGTCAATAAAAAAGGTGTGCCACGGCTTAAAAAGGTTGAAGAACTCT